TTGGTGTGCCACGGTCACCTGAGCCACCAACAACACGGTTTCCGGTCGGGTCGCTCATGCCTCTCAAATCTGCTACTTGCACGTGACTTCTGGACCGAGGACAAAGCCAAAGGGGACGAAACGAACATCATCTTTGTGGACTTCAGCAAGGCCTTCGACAAGGTGCCGCATGACCTCCTTCTGCGAAAGCTGTCCAACCTAGGTGTAGGTGTGGTAATGCGGACTTCCTCATCGATCGGAAATTCTGCGTCCGTGTTGGAAAATCGCTCTCTGCGTGGTATTCCGCTCCCAGTGGGGTTCTCCAAGGCTCGGGTCTTGGTCCATTGCTCTTTGTGGTTTGTGTAAACGACCTGCCTGGTCAACTGTGCAGTCCGTACCTCATGTATTCGGATGACATCAAAATCTAGCTCACAATCAAGGATCCGAATGATCGAAGTTCTCTTCAAGCGGATTTGAATAATCTGGCTCAGTGGGCGGACACCTGGGCTCTTCATGTCAACACAGCAAAGTGTGCTCAACTGCATTTGGGGCGTGCTGACTCAGCGGTAGTCTACAACTTCCAGGGAACCATCTTGCGCAGAAAATCTTGCGAACGAGACCTGGGTGTTACGGTTACGTCATCACTAAAGACTCGAGAAAACACCGATGGGGTCTGTGCTAGCGCATGAAGCATTCACGGGCCTATTCGCCGGTCTTTCAACCAACTCACGATGGACGCTTTCAGGCTGCTGTACGCTGCCCATGTCCGACCAAGACTTGAGTACGGTGGTGCGGCGACATACCCCTACACGGCCGGTGAACTAGCTAAGTTTGAGTGTGTACAAAGTGCTGCCACAAGACTCATTGTTAGACTACGCGAGACCAGCACTGAAGGTCGTCTACAGGCTACTGGTCTGTTCTCAATTGCGTATCGACGCCTCAGGGGAGATCTCATCTGCCTGAGGAAGATCCTGAGAGGTGATATGGGCCCGGAGCTGCAACAGTACTTCCCTTTACGGACAGAGCACAGCACACGGGAGCACTCTCACGTTGCAAAAGCTTCAGTCAGTTGGTCTTCCGTTAGTCTACCGACTCTCGCGTAGGCCAACAACACTCTAGAATTCCCTTTCAGCGATTGTGGTGGAAGAGAAGACAAACGCTGCTTTCAAACGGCCTCTGGATGAGCACCTGAAGGGGCTATGGAGGAACGAACAATTGTGATTGGACCTTCGACTCAGAGGTGATGGGGCTTACACGGGCACCCTGCCCTCTGCCCTCAATCCTGAAGACTGGAGACTGAAATAACCAGTTTTGCATCGTTTTTCCCGTGTTAGCTTTGCTTATACCCGGAGTTTTCGTTCTGAGGAGTATTACAATATTTTTAGAATATTAATCTTTTTTGGTTGAGGTATGATAAGAGTTTCTTATCCGCATCTCCATAAAGGGTGCGGCAAGGGTGTAGTGAAGGGAAATGCGTGCGATATGTGCAAGAGGTAGGCCCATCGAAGGTGCTTGGGTATCCGGTCAGATGTGTACACACTGTACTGTCAGAGTAAGTGGGCCAAATGGGTGTGCACGCGGTGCAAGGAAGCAGCTGGTCTCGAAAGGATTGGCCGTACGGCAAAAGTGTGGGAAGTACGAAGAGGAGGTCTGTAATACAAATGCTGCCGGATGGTGGAGGCATGAGGATAGAAATAGAAAGTGAGGAACACATCAGAATAATACGTCAGTAGAGGAACATGTGTCACTCTATCCTGCAATACAACTCGCTTTCGGCGACAAGTTCATTGGGTTAGGGGCTTCAATCAATCACGAGTGGTTTGGTTTATTTAGATTAATTAGTTGTTGGTTGCTTTGATGTGGGACTGACTACACGCTGGACACCTAACCTTGAAACACCTTGTAGGTGAGGTAGGGGGTGTAATCCTCAACCTGGTCCGGAACGCGGACGCGTGTAGTCAAAACGGTGGAAACAGCCTTCCCCAACAACCATTGCCGGAGCCAAATTATCCATTGCGGGTGAGGAGCCCAAGCCTTCGTCAGGCCCAAACCAAACGACTCTGGAACAAAGAGGCGATATGCAGCAGTCTGGGGTAGTACCCAGCTGAAAAAGGGGAAAAAGGGGCCCAAAGGACAAGATTCTGATATCAGACCTCACCAGGTGGGTGCAGTGGAAATCACAAAGATCTCCTAAGTCCTCGGGAATAAAGTATCAATCCTCACAAATGTAACTACAAGGTCCAAACTCGGATGATATCTTCTGGCAATCACGTAGCACGCGTACCGGGGGTGTCGCCGTGAGCCGTGGTCATCGAAGATGTCCTAAAGTACGAGCAACGGCAAAGTCGTCTGCAAGAAAACAACGGGGATGTTGAAACTCCAGCAAGATCCAGCAAAGAGCTGCCAGCTGAGAGGGCTCATCAGAAAGACCCGCAGGCTACAAGTACCGTGGAAAAAACTTGCTGTCTCCTCCAGTGCTGCGCTCGAGACCCAAGCAGGAATGATCAATGGAAAATGCATAGGACATGAAGAAAGCATGTTCAAACTGTACACCAACGCATGCATTGTTAGGAATATATGGGCAGATGGCTCGGGAACAAAAGGTGACTGTAGCTGCAATCACCGAAACATGGTTGAATAATACAGACCATATACCGCAGTTAGTTTAAGTCATTCTCCGTCTACCGGCAGGACCGTGACCAAGAGTATGCGGGAGGAGGAGTGGCAATTCTCGTTAGAAGGGGCACAAACCACACAAAATCAGAGACCATTCTCTGCATCAAAAATATTCAGTTGTGCGCAGTAAATCTACTACTCAAGGATAGACGGGTCAATGTAGTACGTACTTATCGTGCACCAAGTACAAACCGTGAATGAGACAGTCAACTGCTGTGTGCTCTAACAAGGATAGTCAAAGGGAATAACAAAGCAGTTATTGTTGGTGACTCCAAACTACCACATACAGACTGGAGGGCTGAGGGGTGCACCCGTGAGTCAACAGAAGGGGATTAGCTCAAATGGTTGCACGAAAATGCTCTGTGGCAACATGTTAAGGAAAGCACCGGGTTTAGGTCAGGTAATGCTCCTTCTTTGCTGGATCTAGTGATCACTACACACAACAATGATATCATGACGCTATAGCCGTATCCACCTCTTGTTAAAAGCGACCACGTCGTCATATCGATCAAAGTGTGCATGCGGCAAGCTAGGGCACCATCCAAACTGATTTGAAATTTCAGTTGTATGGATCTAGGGAATCCCAGAACTAGGGGATCGAAGTTGATTAGGGATGCTCCGGAGGGGGCTGCTGTAGAAAACCACTTTATGTTAACTAAGGAGGCACTCGTGGATCTGCAAAACGAACTTGCTCCATTAAAGCCCAGCGACCAGCCCTTGTGGTGGAGAGAAGCCATAACCAGGGTCATCAAACAACAAAATGGGTACTGTAAGAGCTCTAGAGTTCCCGGATATAAACAAGCGTGTATTCGTTATTGAAGCTGTAGAAATGAAGCGATTAGACCAACATGCGAATCCAAAAGGCAACATGAGTTTCGGCTGGCCCAATGAGCGATGATTAAACCGAAGAAATACTATAGTCATGTTTAGTCCAAGGCGGCACTGAGAGATGATATAGGACCATTAGTTACGGGTGTTTCAACGGTCGTTATGGACGACCAGGGTAAGGCAGATGCCTTGGCCAGCTATTTTGGCAGTATACACCGAATAGATGACGATATGCCCAGAATTCTGAAGCTAAGATCCTCACCGCCAGAAGTTGAAGAGATCTGGCTATCGGTAGAGGTAGTGCGTCAGCATTTGGAGGGTCTAGATATCCATAAAGCGGCTAGACCGGATGAGATTCATACAGCTATTATCAAGCCCATAGCAGATATTCTCGCAGGACCGACGTAAAATCTATTCAAAGCTTCACTAGATTGGGGAGTTCTACCGAGGGAGTGGAAGGTAGCAGCGGTGGTGGCCGTACACAAGGGAAGAGCCCGATAGGAGTTACGTGACAACAGGGCAGTCAGTCTAACTAGTGTTTTGTGTAAGGTGCTAGAAAAAGTTATTGGCATCCATGTAAGCCAGCACCTAGCGCAGCATTTTATGCTGGGTTTCTCAAAAGTAGATCGCGTTTGACTAATCTACTGTGCTTCTTGGATA